GCCAAAGTGCTTGCTCATAGGGGGTCATATGATTGTTGGGCTTTTCTCTGTATCTACTGTACAATATAAAGCGCCTTGAGGTGACTTTTGTTGTGATTTGGCGCTATATAAATAAAACTGAATTGAATTGAACTAATGTGTGCAGAAAAAGGAAGACTAAAAGTCTCTATTAAGTCTTTTGTGACCTGCGGCTCAGGGAGTAGAGCAGGTCATCTACCAATCGGTGGATCAATACCTGGCTCAATGCATCCTTTTATTTTTTTTATTTATTCCCCAAGCGTGAGTGTGTGTGAATGTTGGACAAAGCACTTAGGTATAGAGGAAACTATGAATGAACATGCTTGGTGTTTGGTGAATAAGACTTGTAGTAACAAAAAGAAAGAAAAAAAAAACTTTTTGTGTTTTCTTGAGTAGACAAGCACTACAAAAGTCCATTTAAATACACACAAAATAAGTGTGCATGTGAAATTCAGCCTTGGATTCATGAAGCATGCACATTACTACAGTGTGCATGTTAGCAAATAGCTTGACATGATTGAATCCCTTATTGTTATTTACTGAATTTTAACCACATTTTGCTTTACAGTATTTTGGGAAACTATAAATTCTGCACCACTTCCAGCTGCTGCTGTCGGCCTCATCGTAACCACTTGCACTTGTGTGTCTGGTATGCACGCTGGATTTGGTTCAACGAGGGTGGTGAGCGAAGCTTTGCCTCTGGAGTGGCGAAAACACAGTGGCACACACCACAGCTCAGGTTGTGTGGGCCAAATGTTCTCCGTCAGCAGCTGCATGAAGTTACACTAGTGCTGACAGTCTGACTGTCTTTTTTTAAATGGGTGGAGTTGAAGAATTTTATGATCAAACCTCATAGTTCTGTGGGTAATATTGGGTAAGGTTTAGTGCAGTGTAGTGAAAACAGGTTATGTTTCTTGTGTCAACACAGCAGCTCAGAACCGACCTTTGAAGCAGACCTGCAGTATCTGGTACCAAGACTTCAAGATTTAACACAGACGGCCACAGCAATCCAATACACTGAGCATGTGCAAGCCATTTTCTTACCATCTAATACAACACATCCCAGACCTTAACGTGAGCCACTGATACAAAATGAACAACTTTATTGCTTAAGCTATAGGCAAAAACTCCTCACCTTGCAGGACACTGGTGTTTTTCCAAGCACTTTGCTGAAGTCCAGGAGGGAATCCAAAGTGTCTTGGCTTGTTGCTGGAGTTCCAATCACCTGTGGAAGATGGAGACCTTAGCAGCTTTTATTGTAATAGTGCAATTCTAATAATACAGGGTTTGCCCAAGATATAGTAATTCTATAACTATAGTAAAGTTAAACAAAGATCACTATACTATCGTAACTATAGGATAGGCTACTTATAGTAATCCTATAAAGACGTGTGTGCCTGCATGCCACTACGTGCATTATGATGTACAATACACAAAAAACTCACGACAGATCCTGTTAGTAACTCTTTTATTGTTATGGCAAACAGGATTCAGCTATATGAGCCAATTATACATGATATACATGTATAAATGTGTTATATTACTTCCTGGTATTTGAAGATGTTTATTTGTGTTGTATCTTGTTAAATAAAGAAAATGAGCGTGCTAATAATTATTCTTTTCTTAAGACCCTACCTCTACCAGCTTCATCATAGCAACTGGGTTGAAGAAGTGAAGGCCACCGAATCTGTCTTGCCTGTTGGTGGAGCTGGCGATGTCACAGATAGACAGCGAGGACGTGTTACTGGCAAAGATGGTGTGCCTAAAGAAAGAAATCAACACATATCACAGACATCAGTTGATAAAGCAGAAATATGCCTTTTATTGCCTTTAACAAGGCCATGATCAACTTACTTAACTTACTTGATCTGTAACATGGTCACTACAAGAAAGGCAAGCAACGTCTGGGCGTGTTGCGTGTTGGTGTCCATTATGTAAATTACTGCCATCTTGTGGCTACAGCTGGGTACTGTCTCTGGACACTGGCTTGACTACAAGCCATTGGAGTCTACAGTTTGTCATTTTTTGAGCATTTCCAAGTCCTCTTAACAAAAGTAGACCCTGGCAAGCTGGGAGTATTTTCTGACTGATTACACAGTGTGGATAAACAATCAGCTGTCTGTGAAGTTACTCCTGCTTCTTACACTAATGGGGAATATTTTTCTCTTTTAATTTTTATACTTTATTTAAAACCTGCTAATAATATTTACAACATTTTATTTATAGTGGGGTGTATCTTTATGCTTTTCCTAAAGCATACATCTGAATAATTCCCCCCTTACTGGCCATGGTAAGCTAATGGTGAACACTTTAATGATCATTATCCTACAAGTCTTTCTGACTGTGCCAAAAGGTGTTCACATTCAGGCAGAGTGTGCAAGCTGATGCTGAACTCTGAGAGATAAGTCACCATAGAAAAGACAGGCAGCACACAATCATGAAAAAGTCTGGTCACACAATCTTAAATCAGTCTGGTCAGTGTATTTGGGATCATTGCCATGCAGAAAAATGAAGTTGGTGCCAGTCAGGTACTTTTCTGCATTCATAATTCATTTTGACAATATCTCCAACACCACTGGCTGAAATGCAAATCATGACCTCTCCGATCTTGAGGTCAAAGGCCTTATAGTATGAATCTGAAAACCCTACGTCTCCTTGATCGTGGGTTCACAGGGTTAGTTGAACACCAGACTGAGAGTTCAATAAATGACAGGAAAGTCTGGCTCCTTGGAAGCAACATATAAAGAAATGAGGGGTGGCTCAAGACTTTTGCACATCATTGTATGTTAGGTGATCTAAGCAAAGAGCTAAAAGCTTTGCACTTTACACAAATAAACAGAACTGAAGTAGAGCTTACGATGGTGCCAACTTGTCGAGCCTACTGAAAAGATCCTGCTTGATCTTTAGATTTTCAACAATGGCCTCCACCACAAGATCCGAGCCCTGAACGGCAGATTCAGCATCTGTCGAGGTCGACACCTTCTGCACAATTTTCTTGATGAACTCTTCACCTGCCTGAAACAAACCAAACAACATTTTTAAGAAACTGCTCAAATTTCATGGTGTGGCTGATATTGCTGCTCATTTTGTCAGTAAATTTACAGCCTCTCACTTCTGGCTTATCGGAAAACTTCTTCTTCGCCACTCGTTTAAGGCTCCCTTCAATTAATTTGATGGACTTTTTGAGGATGTCGTCAGACGTGTCCACCAGTGTCACAGAGTGGCCCGTTGATGCGGCAACCTTAAAGAAAGAAAATATTTCAAGATTGTTCCAAACGCAGCCACCAGTGGGGGATCGGTTTTGGTTGAATCCGACACATTCAAACTCTTTGTGGGTTAGTTTGACTAGGCTAGGCAGACATACTTGAACACCTGCCAACTACTCCCAAATATAAAGTTCACTTAATGGCCACCAGGATCCTTTATATGGTAACTTTACTGACCTTGATGTGTAACATAAAAATGAAAAATCCTGGAAAACTATCACCAAATTACATAAACAGAATCTAAAAGAAAAGTGATCAAACAAAAACGTAACAGGGTCTTTGCATGCTCTCCACCAAGTTGCATCTGTCTAAACAGTTCATGAACAATCTTGCCAAGAGGTGGCTCTGAGCCCAGTACCTTATTTCAAGCTATATAACTCCACGTAAGCAGGATGTTGTGTTTACAGCACAGCTAAGAGTAAACATGAGAGAATGCAAAAAACTCTAATGCACAGAGTCAAAGTCCACTTTGATTTTTATATTTTCAACAAACTGAAATTCAAAGCGGTGTGTTTACTCTGCATGCACTAGTGTAAGTGTAAGTGGCGATAAAAGAGGACAATAACAAGTTTTGAATAACTAGTGCTAGACAACCTGCACAGTGCCACTATGCGAATATGACGTACGTATAACGCAGACAGCCAAATTGGCCTTAACCCATTGAAATTAACTAGCAGCTTAGCTAAACACGGGCCAGACTGCTCCTTTTTCGCTTACTCACTTGTGCAATCCCAGCACCCATCTGTCCACCTCCGATGATCGTTACATTTTTAATAACAACATTTCGGACAGCTGAAGACGAGAAGCCTCTGACGATCTGAGAAGCTGCGAAAGCCATGTTGACCGGTGTCCGCTCGGGTCCAAAGTGAAGGACACACTAATATCAGTGCACAGGAGCCCCCTAGCTGGACTAGTGAGATCCGTCTGCACCGCCGCCATCTTGCTCCGGGGTCAGACTGTGGATTTCAGAAGTTTGATGTCAAATTTTTGTGCGTTTGCTGGTTGTTGTTTTGTTTTTTTTAAATAAAAAAAAGAAATGCGAAACCTAAGCAACAGTTAATACATTTCACAGGTCTATAGAGTATCTAAGCACATTTTAGTCTTCAATTAGATTTATTAGGGTGAGTAACCCTTTACAGTAAGTAACGATCATTTCTGTTAAGTGACACACACGCACTCACCCAAAACTGCCAGTCCGCCATTCATTTTTATTTATTTTTTTCTATTTGTTATTTTTTTGTTAATTATTTCCCAACTTAATTCGGAAATTGCGAGTTAATGACTCAAAATTTCGAATTAGGTATCCTATTCAACTAGCTAGAGACCCTGTAATTCCAAGGAATTTTGTAAATCGAAATTTTTACATAAAATTTTAAACTTTTGACTTAAATTTCAACTATATTAATTCAAGATAAAAAAAAAATAGGGATGTTTTCTTGGTAGAAACGTGCCTCAGTTTAAAGCTGCATTATGCCATAAAAATAAATTGTGTATTTTAATTAAAGCTATGTCAGAAAACAAATATTGAAAATTATATTGTGTTAATCAGTAATAGCAATTGTCCCTGACTAATATGGCGACTGTGTTAACGCATCCTTCCAAAGAGATGTGCGGTAAGCGGAAGTGCTGGCGGTCACGTGATCACAGCCGGTTCCGCTTGCAATCGTGGAGTTGTACTACTGCCATCTTCTGGGTTTGATTACATTAGAAACGATCTCGGTCTGTATCATTCATTCCTAATTTCTACATGTTGTTTATCAGTTTATGGGTGAAATTTCTCAATTTATGCAAACGAAGAAGAAGGCACCAGCTAGCAATTTAATGTGTAATGAACTCTCACATTGTGTTTTCCTGAGTCCAGAGTTTGTGGTTGTCGAACAAACAGTCCTTATACCCGACCTTTTTCAGTGGAATGTGTGTGTGTTTTTCTATTTTTGTTAAGCCACCTAACACTCACCTATGTATCATTAAATGATAAAAAAAAAAAAACCAGCATCTAACTTATTCAACGAACCAGTGTTATAGCTACATGTAATAGACGACTTATTAAAAATACATTTTAAATTGGTTCTCTCCTAAGTTTAGGCACTGTTAGTAACAATACATATTTTTTTCCCATTTCTTTAGCTGAATCTATGAAAAATGGAAAAGGTAAAAGAGTTTGACAGACATTAGAAATAGTATTTTCCATCAATAAGGTGATTCCCAAAGAGCCATTAGCTTAAAACTTGACATATCGTGGCATGGCGTGCAGTGTATTCTTAAAAAAAAAAAAAATAAGGAAAATGAACACGCTGAGGACAAACAAACAAATAAAGCAGCAGGTCTAAAAACATCTGATGAATAGTATCTGAAAGTCATGTTTTTAAGAAACAGGAAACAAATCCAGCTAAGACCTGACACAGAAGAGATGGATGCGGCACATCATATTTCATCCACTGTTTGCCATAGTTTCATCAGAAATGTTGTCAGTGGAAAGCTGGTTGTCGAGAAGCCATTCTTATGAAATAGAAACAAAGGAAATAGGCTCACGTATGCCAAATCACACAAGAACTGGACTGAAAATCAGTGGTAACAAATTTGAAATAATTAGTTCAAACCATCACCAATATGAGGTTGTCAAAAGAGATGTACAACTTTACAGAGAATGGAACAAAAGGCAAAAACATCCAAAGAAGAGCTCTGGATGTCGTTCAAGGAGCCTGGAGAAGACTGGTGAAGACTACTTAAAGAAATAACAAGAAAGCTGCCTAAGAGTTCAGACTGTGTTGAAGAATAAATGTGGTCCTGTCAATTATTGACTTTCAAGGATGCTAGAATTGTACATATTACATTATTACATATAAACAGCTGTTCCATGTACTTTCTTTTTACACCTCTAATTAAATCTTTGCATCCATTTCCCTACCAAAATATAATGAAATGGGGGGTGGCTCAAGACTTTTGCACATTGCTTTATGCTTGCTAATTTCTATGATGCAAAGCAAATCATACAATAAAAGGATAAATATTAATACAGTTATTATCTTATGACTTTTAAAATTAGAGTCATCTCGCAACACTGACCTTATTTAAATTTTTTTTTTTTAAATGAGATAAGCCATCACTTAGTACTGCAGTCTCAATATCAGTTATTACTTTTCAAATTTCTGTTCACTCAGCAGCAGCTTAAATCATCCACATAATCCAGATGGTAATGAAAAAATAAATTATCTGGGATTTCAGTCAAACAGGAGCACCCTTCTCTAATAAAAAAATGTGTCTATAAACTTCCTATATATTTAGATCTCTCCAGGAGAATAAGATCAAAATATTTTCTACTTTTTGTGAAGTCCTTCATCAGAGTTTCCTTGTTACAGGACGTCAGTTTCACTGTTGCGAGCAGTCACGCACACAGTGAATGGGCAAGGTGCTAGTGTCAGTCCGAACCGTCCGTGCAGGGGAGGTGGACGCTTTCCCTCTGGGAGCCTGAATTTGAAGGCCTGCAGTAAGCTGGTGACCGTCAGAAACAGCTCCATCTTTGCCAGCTGTTCACCCATGCATACCCTGCGACCTGAGACACAACAGTGAAATCAAATTTATGGATCAGTGTTTATGTTTCACTCATATGGATCATATAAGTAAGAAGGCATACCAATCCCAAATGGTATGAAGCACTCTTTCCTGAGCAGCTTTCCCTCATTGTCCAAGAAGCGTTCTGGGTTAAAACTGTCTGCATCATCCCACACAGTGGGATCTCTATGGACAGACCACAGGTTGGGCAAAATGACAGTCCCTTTAGGAATAGTGTAGCCTCTAAACTCTGAAAAAGAAAAGAAGAACACTTTGTTTAGAGCTTGGGAATTAGACAAATTTGGCAACAGGCATCTGCTAGGGTGGATCCAGGGTGCTTGAACAGTTATGTGCAGATCTGTATGAAGGTTATGTGGAGATTAAGGGTCACAGTTACTGTTTACCTGTTGTTTGTGAGGCCATGTGAGGAATAGCCAGGGGAACTGCCACAGTCATTCTCTGCACTTCCATAATGGTGGCTTCAGTAAAAGGCAAACTTCCCTTATCAGTCAGAGACGGCACCCGATCTTTGCCCACTACTTCATCAATCTCTGCATGGACCTTGTCTTGAATCAACACAGCAGGAGAAAGGGAGGATTAAGGATGAAGTCCACATCACATCAAACCAGGAAAAAAAACGGGTCTTATTAGAACTTGAACTTGAAGTAAAATGCAGCAGTAAATGCATATTTTCATGTGCCAATCTATGTGCACGTGCAACAATTGGAGAAGTGGTTAAATACACAAGGAGGCCAGACATGTTCATGTATTGAAACCAAAAAGCGTCCCAGACGTGGGTTCCCGCAGAAGATTCCCAATTCCCCCCACATAAAAGTTTGTTTGGCAACCTAACATTTAGTCACAATACTTACATATGTTGCCACTGTCATTTATCAAAATCCACGTTTCAAATCAGTGAAATCACACTTAAAGTGGTATTTCTGACACTAAATGTGATTTTCCCAAAACTGCTGTGGAGTCCAAATGAAATGATTTGATTTCACAAACACATGCACTTTGCAAAGGATGGACTTGACTGATTGCTGCCATTTTTACCTTGGATATCAGGGTATATGACCATATAAAGCAGAGTCCACAAAACCGAATTGGTGGTGGTGTCAGTGCCAGCAATGAAGAGGTCTCCTATGATATAAAAGAGATAATCCTCTGTGAAGCTGCTGTCCTCCTCTCTAGCATCTTGCTGGGCCAGCATCTCCATCAAGTACATGTCTGTGAGATCCCTTGGATTGTCGGCATCTAGTGTTGCACGGTGCTTTGTAATAATCCTCTTAAGAAACACGGTGATGTCTCTTTCCACCTGACGCAACTCTCTGAAAACTCCAAAAGGCAACCAGTAGAGCAGCGGGAAAACGTTGATGAGGACTGCCGGGCTGTTCATGCAGATCTCCAGTCCTCGCGCCATCAGGTCCAGCATGGTGCGGAACTCGCGATCCTCGTGGTGGAAGCGCTGACCCAGGATCAGTGTGCAGATGACGTTTGACACAGCGTTGCCAATTAGTGGACTCGGGTCCACACCAGCGCCACCACACTCCTCATTCAGCCGCAGCAGCTCTGTTTTGATTGTAGCAAGGCCTTCCTTAATGCAAGGCTCCAGACTTAGCTTCCCCAGACCAAAGCTGCGGAGTGTGGTGTGGCAGAACTTGCGCTGCTTTCGCCATACTGACCCGTAAGGTGCAAAGACGATCCCTGAAGTTCAGTTATACCAGGAAAAAAACGACAGCTTATGTCAGCGTGTATGTCATTGTTATTTTGGCTACTTAACTAGACTCTTAAAATTGTAGAATACCTAAAAACTTACATCTCGTAAGTTATGGAGGAGACTATCAAATCTACTGTTTAGACTGACCCTCAATCCCGCTTGGAGAATTTAATGTGGTAAATAGAGCCTGTTTAAGTTACAGGCTTATCAAGTTCAAATGTGCATTCATGCATATTAATTGTAGATTTGCAGTAAATGCAATATACTTCCAGTGAATCCTAAAGGTTAAAGAGAAACTTCAATTTGAAGACAACTGATCAGCTATATTCTATCATTTTATGAATAAAGCAACTAGCACTCAATCTCACAGTGTGTAATTACTTTTTGTTAGGCATAATGTAATAACACTGAGGGGGAGACATTACAGTTGTGCTCAGAAGTTTACATACACATATGAATGTGACAGTGAGGCTTTCCAACACTGTACCAGCTGTCAAGAAAAACAAACAAAAAACAAAAACTTTTATTACACTAACCAAAGGCAGTGAAAACTCTCTATTCTAACGCTTATCCGATTACTAGATTTTTTTTATGGGTTATTATTACACGGTTATAGCCTTATTCAACCGATAACCTACAATAACAGTTGCTTAATTTAATACAAGAACTTGCTTACCTTTGCGTTTAGTCAGGATAGTGACGGTAGGGATGTCTGGCCTGTCGGAGAACACCTCCGGATGGTTTGAGAGGGCATCCCTGACCGCTTCATAGCCATTGAGCACCACGATAAGTTGACTCCCTACAAAAAGGCTGTATATGTTACCATAAACTTTAGCCAATTCTGCCAGACCGTCAGTGGGGTTTATGATCCGTTTCCTGAGGATACCAGAGGGTACGAGAAAGCCGCCGAAGTTTCCGACCACTGGCCATGGCTTCGGACCTGGCGGAATGTTTTTATATCTTAAATTCCGCTGTTTTTGATAAAGAGCAACCAGCGCCAACGCGATTATTATTAAAGCCGCAACGTTTGCGTTTAACAGCAAGGAGTCGTTCAGGCCTGAGAGCGAAATCATGACTTCAGCATTCAAATTAACTCAAAGCTGTTAGTTGATAATACATGTCCAGGACTGAGCACTCGGACACCGCGAAGCTGCTATTTATTTGTTTTACAGACAGACGCTCACGCTCTTCCTGTGTTGTTGTGGCAGGCCAAGAACAACGTGGTACCGCTACTGGCTTCCTATTGGCTGACAGTGCTTCCTCCTATTTTGATTGGCGGCCAGCGGTCATTGGCCTTTAGAGCTATTAATTCTGTCTTCCAGGTTTGGCAGTGGCACAATTCTCGGTTTTATCCATTTTGAGGCTTTATTTTTTTATTTTATTTTACTTAAAAAGAAAAAAAGAAAAAAAATACTTTCACTTTTTTGGCAAGTAAATCAAATGTATACAAAGAGCTGCGCTGTCAACACTTATATACAAGGCATCTAGAAAGTACAGTGGGGCAAAAAAGTATTTAGTCAGCCACCGATTGTGCAAGTTCCCCCACCTAAAATGATGACAGAGGTCAGTAATTTGCACCAGAGGTACACTTCAACTGTGAGAGACAGAATGTGAAAAAAAAATCCATGAATCCACATGGTAGGATTTGTAAAGAATTTATTTGTAAATCAGGGTGGAAAATAAGTATTTGGTCAATAACAAAAATACAACTCAATACTTTGTAACATAACCTTTGTTGGCAATAACAGAGGTCAAACGTTTACTATAGGTCTTTACCAGGTTTGCACACACAGTAGCTGGTATTTTGGCCCATTCCTCCATGCAGATCTTCTCGAGAGCAGTGATGTTTTGGGGCTGTCGCCGAGCAACACGGACTTTCAACTCCCGCCACAGATTTTCTATGGGGTTGAGGTCTGGAGACTGGCTAGGCCACTCCAGGACTTTCAAATGCTTCTTACGGAGCCACTCCTTTGTTGCCCGGGCGGTGTGTTTTGGATCATTGTCATGTTGGAAGACCCAGCCTCGTTTCATCTTCAAAGTTCTCACTGATGGAAGGAGGTTTTGGCTCAAAATCTCACGATACATGGCCCCATTCATTCTGTCCTTAACACGGATCAGTCGTCCTGTCCCCTTGGCAGAAAAACAGCCCCATAGCATGATGTTTCCACCCCCATGCTTCACAGTAGGTATGGTGTTCTTGGGATGCAACTCAGTATTCTTCTTCCTCCAAACACGACGAGTTGAGTTTATACCAAAAAGTTCTACTTTGGTTTCATCTGACCACATGACATTCTCCCAATCCTCTGCTGTATCATCCATGTGCTCTCTGGCAAACTTCAGACGGGCCTGGACATGCACTGGCTTCAGCAGCGGAACACGTCTGGCACTGCGGGATTTGATTCCCTGCCGTTGTAGTGTGTTACTGACGGTGACCTTTGTTACTTTGGTCCCAGCTCTCTGCAGGTCATTCACCAGGTCCCCCCGTGTGGTTCTGGGATCTTTGCTCACCGTTCTCATGATCATTTTGACCCCACGGGATGAGATCTTGCGTGGAGCCCCAGATCGAGGGAGATTATCAGTGGTCTTGTATGTCTTCCATTTTCTGATGATTGCTCCCACAGTTGATTTTTTCACACCAAGCTGCTTGCCTATTGTAGATTCACTCTTCCCAGTCTGGTGCAGGTCTACAATACTTTTCCTGGTGTCCTTCGAAAGCTCTTTGGTCTTGGCCATGGCGGCGTTTGGAGTCTGACTGTTTGAGGCTGTGGACAGGTGTCTTTTATACAGATGATGAGTTCAAACAGGTGCCATTCATACAGGTAACGAGTGGGGGACAGAAAAGCTTCTTACAGAAGACGTTACAGGTCTGTGAGAGCCAGAGATTTTCCTTGTTTGAGGTGACCAAATACTTATTTTCCACCCTGATTTACGAATAAATTCTTTACAAATCCTACCATGTGGATTCATGGATTTTTTTTTCACATTCTGTCTCTCACAGTTGAAGTGTACCTCTGGTGCAAATTACTGACCTCTGTCATCATTTTAGGTGGGGGAACTTGCACAATCGGTGGCTGACTAAATACTTTTTTGCCCCACTGTAGCTCCAGATAGTCTCATATTTCAGCCATATGCCATAGTGAGTTCAATTCATTTTCCACCTCAAGATTCTACACACACTACCTCATCATGAAAAGTAAAAAAAGTAATTCTTGTAATCCAAATTTATTAAAAAAAAAAAAAAATTAAAAAATAAAAACACAACATGTACTTAAGTATTCACAGCCTTTGTCTGACAGTAAAATTTTTATTTCTTTTTAATTTTTCATCAGTCAGAAAGTTGAATTTCAAATTTTTCATGTTTGCAAAAACAAGAGAGTTTTTGTATTTAATGTGGATTTGATTTAATTATCATGTGCCCAGAGGAAGTATTTTCTGTTAACCTGGAGTTTTTAAACAATCTCCTCTGATGAAGTGTTCAGTGAAATAAAAGCAACACTCTTATGCTTTGGTAAGGGTACATTTTAATACAAAGTTACAATGATAAGACTACAGCTAGGATACACAGTCAATGCTACTTAAATTAATACAAAATTAATAATAATAGAGAAAAAAAAACCAAATATACCTAGACTGATAATGGCAGCTTTGGTACACCTATAGACATTTAACAAACTAAGGCACCTTGTGACTTGAGCACATTAATATCACAATGAGAGAAACCCTGACAAAATGTACATATACCAAATGAAATACTGCAACAAAACTGCAAGTAGGCATCATAAAACTGTCCATTTATCAAAAGAAATTGACCAGGAGCAAAATCAACTTTATCATTTACGGAAAAAAAAAAAACTTACAGCACTTGAACTTATAAATAAATCACAGTGACAACAAACAGAGATGGTATGATTATCTTCTTAGACATACTCGTATCTACACATTTGGTATCAATGTTTCTGCCCAGTAGGCAAGACTTTGATGAATGAATACCACCTCGGTGGATTATCGAGCAACACTGCTGCGATATCCGGGTCATATTACTCCTCTCGTGTGCTCTGTACCATGGAGTACTTCTTACAGGGATTCTTCAGGCAGGAAGGAGGCCAGGCTATGGGCCAACTGTATGAACACGGCACTGCGGTCTGGACGTTCCTCTCCAAGAAGTTAAAGAGTGGGTTCCACCAGGTGTTGGTGAGGTAGTTATTGGGTGAGCACTTCAGGGTCTGAAGAGAAGACCGAAAAAAAGTTCACATTAGAGTAATATCATTATGTCACCCAAATGTCTGTGACAGAAGATTGTCTGATGTCTATGAAGCCCGTTTCCGCCACAAAAAAAAAGGATCCATAACTCTAAATTTCGAGTTACTTTCTCAAAATGTTGAGAAAATAACTCAACATTTCGACTTCTTAACTCGAAATTTCAGGTTATTAACTCAAAATTTTGAGAAAAGTAACTTGAAATTTCCAGTTAGCGCTGCCAATCAGTAATCTACGTGGATGACGTCATTTGTTACCCAGAAGCTGAAGCCCTCAGGTACAAATGCTACAGCTAAGGTAAGTATTACATCCAGCCATGAATGAACAGATTGCTGAGTATTTTCAGCGTGGCTTCAAAAATGATGAAATCCTTGTGTTATTAGCTGAATCACATGGCGTTACTATCAGCAAACGTACTCGTGAAAGCGCCAGTTTGTTGCGATCTGGGTTTGAGTCCGTGTTACTCTGGCACCATATGCTTCCGGGTAACAAGAAAGTGACCTCATTCACGTAGATTACTGATTGGCAAGACTAACAAGAAATCCAGATAGATTTTTTTTTCCAAGTCTTCTATTGTTTGAGAATTATAAAATAACAAGGGATTTTTTAAAGGCTGCCCTTCAGAACAAAAATGTTTGATTTCTGTACCTGATTGCTTCATATATATATATAATATTATATATATATATATATATTTTAGTAATATATATTAATTTTAATATATTATATATTATTATAAGAATGAAGACCTGAAGGGAGAAAGCATAAGCCAAACAACAACAATAAATTGTGGTCAGTGTGCCAAGCATATTAATCAATTCCATCAACTGTGCTTAAAATTTGTCCATTAGAGGTGTGTAATGTATCATTGTAATGGTGCAATGACATAGAATTACACCCAGATGCTTTTGACACAGTTTAAAAATACTTGAGGAATTGTAAGCATATATAATAATATATATCATTTCCTATAAACAAAAGCAGTAATAACTAATAGCTCCCCACTGCCCCCCACAACAAAGTGGACCCAGTGCCATTAGGAAAACAGTCCTCCATGCTTGAGGAGTCCTGTGTCTTTTGATCAAACCTGTAAGTTAGCCATGGTGTGGTACCACCAGAACAGACGGGAGGTGATAAAATATGCCACGACCACATCCACACTGTAGTGCTCATGAGCCACCAAGATGCACACCACGCCCACAGCACTCAGGAGCCAGCAAACGAGATGGTACCACCAAAAGGACCGCGGCGAGTCTTCGGGGGAAGCAGGAAAGACAAGATTGCTGTCAGTATTTATTTGTAAAATGTTGTTTTTTTCAATTTACTGAAGTCTTATCAAAGATAATGTAGGAAAACATTAGAGAGCCAAGGGTGATGGATAGTATTCGGTTAAAAAGATCTCTCATATTCCGTGAATTTAAAGCAATTAACTTGGGAGATGCTTTTGTTTTCCTCCCACCAAAGAACATCTTTGCTTCATTTTGCAAGGCTGAATTAACATCATCACACCACAAACATACAGCATGTTGCATATTTTGCTTACAGTAGAATGAAATAACGGGCCTTTATACCGGAATCACCATATTATCATACACATCCAGAGCCTGAAGAGAGATTACTATTCAGAATAATATACTGAGATGGATGACATGGTAGCTTTTTGTTCATTAGGAAGCAAATTGCAATGGACAAATGCCAAGATACCACTGTTTACATCTAGTATACTGTTGCACCTCCTCACTAATGTCTTTGAATGTAATGATGTTGATCTGCTCTTGCAAAGTGCTGAAAAGTATGGTTGCAGTTTTTTCTTGTGACTTTAATCTCAGAACAGCTTCTTCATTGTCCTGCTAAAATTATGACTTTATTTATTTTGCTTCCATAAGTAAAATCTTAGTAACAGTAAAAACTAAGTCACATGCTATTTTGAAACATTTAACTTTCCCTCCCTTTTTTT